AAAGAAAAAAAAAAAAAGGCATAAACTGCCATATAAGTCTAGCGAATCCAGCAAAAGGTTCATAAAAAAAGAGGCATAAACTGCAATTGCTACACAGGTCTAGATTTAGCAAAGTTCATAGAAAAAAATGCATAAACTATTGCCATAAATGTCCAGCAATAAGTTCATTAAGAAAATGGGCATAAAAGAGTCTAGTAAGTGGCACATGCGTACACATTCATCCAATCCAGTAAGGCAAACTTTGTAGCAGTATCTTAAACTAAACTTGATCGATAATTTCAAGTTGAGGAAATAATTTCTTGAAACAAAAACAAGTACCCAAAGTTAACAAAATTTTAGAAAAAAATTTTTATATCAAATTGAAGAATAGAAACAAAGTTATGGGCACGACTTTTCGAAGGTTGCCAAGAATAATAGGTTAAAGGGAATTGACCGATTGAAGAACATAAACAGAGCCAGTGAGATACAATGCAGTCTGCGTAGAGGAGAAGAGACTAGAGTTTGAAAAGGAGAAGGAATCCCAGTTTGTAGATTCGCAAATCTAAAATCTATGGTAGTAGTCCTTTTAGTTCTAGGGAACTAGTTACTAATTAATGCAAATTGGGTTTGTCCTGGGTACTTAAGTTTAGGAAGACTATGGGCTGGACTGGATTATATAATTAGGTTTGAAAAAACTAAAAAAAGAATGGATTGGGTTGAATAAGTAAAAATTAATTATTAATTTATATTTTCTTTCATTCTATGTGGATCTCCACAATTTTTCATGAGACGAAAAAAATTTCTCACGAAATTTCATGAGGAAAAAGATGCCTCTATCCTCACTTTATGAGAAGGAATATTTTTGAAATCTCTATCCCTATGGTGGAGATATCCGCGAAGCTTCACAGGTCAAGAGGAAATTACCATTCCTACTTGTGGATGGCAAAGTGACGTCATGGGCGGATTTTACACAACCGAGCAGTTTAGGGGCTGATTTTCGTAAAAGAAATTTAGGGGGGTAATTATCTACAATCGCAGAGTCTAGGGCCTGATAAGCCCTTTTCGCCGAACGGTCCAGCTTCATCCCAATCACCTTTACCTCGAGATGATGATGAGGAAAGTTCCTTAATTAAGCCTGAATCTACTGCGTCACACAACATAACTCTTCACAATCTTTCCCGCATTTTTGTTGTTTTATATCCATGCCAGAATCATGAATACCCAGGATAGAAGTTTGTCGGAACTTCCCTCCTCCGTGTTGATACTGTGATTCTTGCAATTTCTGGTGGAATTGGCTTGTGGGTATTGGTTTGGGGAAGGTAATCTGATGGGGATTTCTTGAAATTTTGCAGGAATCAAGGGGTTTACTGGTGCGGAACATTGGGTTTTAGGTGGATTTCTATGCGCTTTTTTAGGTAAGTGTTTTGGGTTATGGTTTGCTGAAGTTGTTGTGTTTTTGGCCAATATAAATGTTTCTGGGTTTAGGTCTTTTAATCATCTTTAAGCTTGGGTATTGAATAAGATAATGATGTTGGGTTTGAGAAAAAATGATATTTTTGTATCTACTCAATAATGGTTTAAGAGGAGCAGCCGGTATTGAGAGTACTGTTATCTTAATCATTTATTTGGATTTTGAATAAGAGTTGAGCTTCTTCTGCGGCATTTGCAATTTGCAAACATCAACGAAGTAAAATTTTGGCCTTTCAAGTGAATAGGCTAATCTGATGAGTTATCTTTTTGTGTGCATTGATATACTGCTGCCAATTGAAGTAATTGGAAAACTGTGGTGCTCGGATTTTCAACAAATGAGTTACGTTTGGTTTGTCATTTTTCTCATACCTAAAGGCTGCTTAAATTTTAAGCCTTTATGGTGAAACAGTTGTGTTTTATCTGAACACTATGATCTGAGGCAATCTGGCTCTTGTTTTTCAGCTTGATAATACTGTAAGGGAAAGTAAGAGATGGCTGCTGGTAGCAAAACTAGGAGTATGCTTGAAGGTCTGGTGAGAGAAGGATCATTTAAATGGTTGCTCGGAAGGCGAAGTCCCTTCTATGAGGAATTTGAGGAGATGGATAATTCTCCATCCGGTGGAAAGAACTTTATACCAGTGCTCTCTCCTATTGCCAATATAATTGTGCGAAGATGCTCAAAGTAAGCTTGGCCTGGGTGCTGCTGTCAAATGTTACCTTCCTCTGTTATTAGTACCTGAATTTGTATTATTGGAATTTTTTTTTTACCTCAAGCTTTGAATTCATTTTCTTAGGAGAATGATTTAGGCTAGCTGACAGAGTCTAGTATTTACCCTAGATAACCTTTTTTGCCACTTGACATATATAATCTTTTTATGGATATTTAATCAAAACGTGCAGAATCCTTGCTGTTTCTTCGAGTGAGCTTCAAGAAAGTTTTAATGTTGAGGCATCTGATTTTATTAAGCACCCATCACGGTATGCTAGGAACTTTTTGGAGTATTGCTGTTTCAGGGCTCTTGCTTTGTCAACTCAAGTAATGGGTCATTTGGCTGATAAAAAGTTCCGACGCCTTACATTTGATATGATGGTGGCCTGGGAGGTCCCAGCATCATCCAATCAACCTCTTCATAATGTAAGTTTTACTTGTTTAGCTTTTGCCAACTGTCATTCAACAT